CCTTGATCTCCGCCGCGCTTCAAGTGACACATTCAATGTCGCGCAACGTATGTGTGCATATGATCTTCGGCTGTTATACACGTATACACATATCTGAAATCTGACGCCGGACACCATTCCTGCCGGTCAATGTACATAATACTGACAGCTAACTTAACCTATTTACTTGTATCATTCATATGACGTAACATTAATTTAGGTTATGAAAAATTGACAGTAATAGGGCCAGAATTAGGTACAACATAATTTGGAGGTTGCCAGTATTAGGTGCAACTGCATGTAACCATAATTATTATATTAATTAATGAATGACAAATTAATTTTATTTGATTTTTTTAATCTTATTCTTAAATTATATACTTATAACAAATTTAAAAACCATATGACACTATAATATTATTGGCCGTATACATTTAATCAAATATAACAGAACGACTAATATCATAATATGCCAGTAATATGGCCATTTACCCTATCCTTTTTTAAAGCAAAACGAAAAGATAAAAAAATTTCTAAAATTGATTCCACATTAAAATTAAAACTTTAAACTTCAAAATGCGTTTCTAATTTTTAGTCTACATTAGTCTACAATGATTTTTCGTCAAGTTTCAGCAGTTTTAAAATAGCATAAGTTTTAGGATAGGAAAAGTGTTCCCTATTTTTTTAGTAGTGTGTGTCATACATAATTATTATAGCTATAAAGCTATAGTTATAAATATTTGAGCTTTCATAATTTTTTTCTATTTTTAACTATACGTACGTATCGTTTGTTTTTTTTACGGAATGTAGTTAATAAAATTTCACAATATAACTTATTTTTCGTAATTGTTTTTTTATTATTACAGCAATCAAAATTGATATAACAGCATTAAAAATTAATTAATTTTTTCATTATTATTTAATTTAAGAACTTTTTTTACTTTTAATGCCTTTATGTTGTTATATTAATCCTGTATATTTTAAAGATATCAAAAATAATTTTAATTAAAAATAAAAACTTTTATATAAATATAAATATAATATTTTGATTGTTATATAATAAAAAGAAATATTAATAGTTAGGTATTTTATTAATTGATTGAAATACATTATGCATAAAAATTTTTGCATTGCAGCACTTGAATAGTACGATGCATATAATTGTGCATATAAAATTATGCTATTGCATCAATGTTGCATACATTTTGCGATTGATACAATGTATTTAATTATTCATGACTCTATATATCCTTCTTGTATTAACCTTTGATATCTCATCGAAGATGGCTAGATATATTTTTAGTGCTTAAAAACATATTAGTGTCTTCGTACATGGAAATTATTTCTTTCTATACATCTTATATCCTTTATATTTTTCTTTGTGGTTATCTAAATTTCATTATAATTAAATATTTAAAGTTTCCATTTTTCTATTAGGAGTACAAATAAGTTTCCGCCGTTTTTTATAAAAAATTGAATATTTATTGTAACAGAATGGTAGTTTAAGTTTATTCAAAGTATTGTTCATCACTAGCAACCACTTTTTCCCATCTCTCAGGCAGCATTCGAATTCCACATCTAAAGAACTCCTTATCTTTTGAGGTTATCCACGTATCAACCCAATTTTTGGTATCTTCATATGTTGTAAACCGCTGCTCCGACATAGCATGTGCCATTGACCGGAACAGATGATAGTCGGATGGCGCTATGTCTGGTGAATACAGCGGGTGGGGTAACACTTCCCAATCAAGTGTTTTCAAATAGTTTTTCACCGGAACCGCTACATGCGGACGAGCATTATCATGGAGTAGAATTCGTATGGAACCCAATTTCCTTGTTTATGAATCATTCCTAATGATTTTAAACGATGTGAAACTGCTTGCTGAGTGACTTCTAATGTGAGAGCAAGTTCCTTTTGTGTTTGAGACGAATCTTCCTCCAATAATTCTTCCAATTCTGCATCTTCGTAAATTTTAGGCCTTCCACTGCGGTCTTTGTCTTCTACATCAAAATCACCGTTTTTAAACTTTTGAAACCACTCACGACACGTTCTCTCACTCAAAGCAGCTTCATTATATGCTTCTACGAGCAATCCATGCGCCTCAGCTGCAGATTTTTTTAAATTAAAGAAATAAATTAAAAGTTCCCGCAAATGACGTTTATTTGGCTCAAATTTAGACATTTTCAGCTCAAGAAAATTATATTTTACTAACACGGAGTCACTAATATAGTAAGGTTATGTTATTTTAGAACGAACAGACTAATTTTTAAACCGGTTATCATCTGCAAATGCTAACGAAAACCGCGCGCCGCGACACCTTCCTTAAAACGGCGGAAACTTATTTGTACTCCTAATATTATATTTTTCTTTATTGTACCACTTTTTTGTATTTATATAGATAAAAATGCCTGATGATTAGATTTCATCATATGTCATGATCTTCTGATATTGATTGAAATATGTTGTATGTTGTATGTCTTATAATCATATTATAATGATAGGTCATATAATGAAAAATGTGAGCTCAGATATTAATTTGAGCATATTTATGTACTCATGACATTTTTTACAAAAATTTTAAGATATAATATGTCCGTATTTTGAGTAGCATTTAAGCCTGCATCTGTGTCTATTTTTGTCATCATGTTTTAAAAAATATAAGTGCAATCCCTATAAGCGCATAATATTATTTAATATTTAAGCAATATTCTAGGTGTATTTTTAAAATATTTAATATTCTAAGAATACGCCTAGAATATTAAATAATATCATGCGCTTATAGGGATATGAGTACAATATGAGTACAGAATACATATATTTTGCTATCTGATTATATTTTAGAATTAAATTTTATTGATTTAATAATAATCTTTATTCAAAGAGAGTTAATAGTAAAATTATATTATATTACTATTATTGTTGTTGTTGTTGTTATTGTTATTATTATTTATTATTATTAATATTATATATACATATATATAGATGTGTACATCTGTGGTTGAAACGTATGTATATTTACGTAATAATGCAAATTGTCTTTCTACTCTTTATATAATAATTTATTTACTTTTATTTAGCATATAGTATACGAGGGTCACTATTTATATTTCGGGAATTGGCAACACTGATGTCATGTGAGTCCATTTGACGGTTCCATCGTAAAGTTTGACATTTTTGACGATATACGTACTCAGAACATTTTGTCATACGGACGCTATTTGTTTATTTTATATTTAGTTGAAAGTTTCGTCTCGGCAAAAAATGGAACTGAATCGTGAACATTTTCGTGCGATGATTTTTTACGACTTTCGACGTGGATTATCACAACAAGAGTCAATCAACTTAATTTGACTTTTGGCGATGAAGCTCCATCAAAAACCACTGTGTATCGCTGGTATAGTGAATTCAATCGTGGTCGTAGTTCGCTGTCCGACGAGTTTCGTGAAGGTCGTCCAAAATCGACTGTAGTGCCAGAAAACATCGATGCTATGCACGAAATGATTAAGCAAGATCGTCATGTAACCTATTGTGAGATTGAGGCATCCCTAAGCATTAGTTCCACCAGCATATATGCGATTTTACATGAACACTTAGCTGTGCGAAAGTTATGTTCGCGTTGGATCCCACATAATTTGACAATCGCTCAAAAAAAGGCTCGTGTCGATTGGTGCAAAGAAATGCTTAAGAAATACAATCGCGGTGCTTCAAAAGACGTTTATAAAATCGTGACAGGTGACGAATCATGGATATATTCGTATGAGCCCGAAAGTAAGCAGCAGTCGACTGTATGGGTGTTCCAAGATGAACCAAATCCAACAAAAGTTGTTCGCGCACGAAGCACTTCAAAGAAAATGGTGGCCTGTTTCTTCGGAAAAACTGGTCATATTGCAACAGTACCTCTAGAGGATCGTAGAACAGTAAATTCTGAGTGGTACACAACCATCTGTTTGCCAGAAATCTTCGGTGAAATAAGGAAAACAAACAAGAGACGTCGGATTGTTCTTCATCATGACAATGCGAGCTCTCACACATCGGCTCAAACAAGAGACTATTTGAGCACTCAAAACATCGAATTGATGGGTCATCCGCCGTACAGCCTTGATTTGGCACCCAATGATTTCTTTTTGTTCCCATCCGTGAAGAATAAACTGCGTGGTCAACGATTTTCATCGCCCGAAGAAGCTATTGAAGCGTTCAAAAATCATGTTTTGGAGATACCTCATTCGGAATGGAATAAATGCTTTGAAAATTGGTTTAAGCGCATGCAAAAGTGTATCGATCATCGTGGCGAGTACTTTGAAAAACAATAAAAATATATTCGCAGCTTAACTATTTGTTTTTGTTCCTATTCCCGAAATATAAATAGTGACCCTCGTATAATGTGAATGCAAAAAATTATCTTACACATTTTTATTCTGTAATTGACGTAAGAAGTGCCACGTGTCCTCCTTTCACATTTTTACTCATTCTTCATCATTACAAAGGGTTTATCTTAGGTCTTTGATCTGTCAGATTTTTCTCTACAGATACTCTCTATAGAAACTTCCCATAAAACATTTTACGTACAAATATCTAGCTATTGCATACAAAAGCAGCTCATACTGCGCAAGCAAAACCTTATCCTAGTGAGTCGTCATAGTGATAGTAAATGCTAGCACACTTTGCGCGCGATCTCATCTCGTTATAAGCATGCAAGATGAGCATATTCAACAAGCATGTTGCTGTCACTATCACATCAGTGGTATATTTATGGCAACTTGATATCCATTTGCATGTGATTTGCTGGTGTATCAAATAATATATAAGCTAACCATTTGCGTGCAATATGTACGACTAAACATATCCCATATGCAAAATTCAAGCGTAAATCTCAAACACATTAGTTTATATGCATAAGACGTGCAAATTTTGCACGCCAAAATTGTTATCTGGGCCACAGATTAGTATGCGGGGTACTTATAATTATAAATAATTTATACAAAGAATTTTAACAAACAACAATGAAATTTTTTTGCTTCAGGAAAATTTACTATTCGCCTTTATCTTCGTTTCGCTTATACTCAATTCCGGTGTCCGCCCTGAGGGACAACGCGACGAACATCGCTCCGTACGTGAAGGAACTCGGACGGAAGACGTCGCAGACCGACGGTATGGCAATGTCGGCCACCGGCGTGCTTTATTTCGGCCTGCTAGCCGACGACGCTATCGCCATGTGGGACACCAAAGCTGTAGCGGCTTTCAACACCGGCCAGCGAATCATCTCGCGCGATCACTTGTTGACACAGTGGCCCGACAGTTTCGCCTTCGACGAGGACGGTAACTTTTGGTGCGTCACCAACAGGTTACAAAACTTTTTGACCAGCCGGGTCAATGTTGATCAACCCAACTATCGTCTCATTCGCACGCACGTAGGTGTTAAGAATTATCAGTATTATGAGAATGGCACGGCGCCGGGTTGGCCGGATTTCACTGCCGGTGCCGACTCCGTCAAATTGGCACTCGCCACATTGCTGGCCGCCATTTTGGTTTTTGTCGCAAAGTAACTTTTATGCGGTAACGTATATCAGATATATATGTATAAAAATGCGCAAATTGGAAACTTGCTTCCTCTATATGAAATATGAGGAAGCCAAAATTGGAAAAACAGTTTGCTTATAAAGGGGGCTTCAGATTCCTTGATTTTCGTCGCGACCATGTTGGATTGTAACGTCAGAAGCGAGAAAATATACACACTGAAAACTTTTGCATGCCATTTTTAGATAAAAAAATATTTCAATAAAACAACGCTACAAAATCTTTTGGCACCTTGGAAAATTGTCCGAAAACTATCCTTTTCTCTTGACAGTCAATCCACAGTCGTAAAATAATTGAAACATATCAGATTTTGTCATGCGAAATGATTGTATATATGTGCAAAGACCAACTTGGACCTCATATTAGTCATATTACAACTGTTGATTAATTATAAAGGGAAAAGATTAGTTTTCGGATAATTTTACAAGTGTATCAAAGAATTTTGTAGTGTTGTTTTATTGAAATATCTTCTTATCTAAAAATGGCAAAAATTTTTCTAACGTCACGATTTCGACATGGTCGGTGAGAATCAAAGAGCCTTAATGCGAATGAACAAAATGGTAAGGAAGCAATGTGCAAGTTTCCAATTTGCACACTTTTTTCACATAGAATAATATTTTGTCATATATTATATATAATATAAGTATGCGTTAGGTACGGATGTACCTATACTTTTTGCATGTTTCTTTCGTAAAATTCGAAAAGAGTGATGGCAAATTTTGCCCATTTTTTGGACCTTGAATTTCAAATTTTTGTATGGCAAATAGTACTATTAGATGAAACATTAATCCCAGTAAAATTTCAAGATGAGCATAGGTTCCGGAAATACAAGGGAATGAAAGTGATGATTTCTAGTTAGGGTGTATGAAAAATTATCACTTTCACTTCTTCATATATCCGGAACCAAATCTATGCTTATCTTGAAATTTCTCTGGGATTAACGTATTATCATTTAGTACTATTTGACATAAAAAAAAGTTTGAAATTGGAGGTCCAAAAATTCGATTCTATAAAATGGGCGAAAAAACAGGTCTTTTTGCCATCATACTCTTTACAATTTTTTTTAACAAATTCAAAATTTCATAACAAATGAACTCTTTCAACCATCTTCGCCAAATTCAATATTAACCGTTTTCTAATAATACTCCATTTATATAAAAAAATTTAGTCGAATATCTCAAAATTTACGAAATTGGAGCAATTACAAATATTTTTCAAAAAATACAAAATTTTATAAAAAATGAATCCTCTTTCACTAAATAACATATTTCACACAGCATAAAATTCAACAGAAATGTTGCAGAAATATTTCAAAGTTTCAAACTAATTTCTAAATAAACATTAAAATGACGTTAATTATCTCTAACAGAATACACATTCAAAAAATATGATATCCATTATAAACAGCAGTTCTTAACCTTAGGGTTCGTGATGATGTTTTCACAAGCAAATTGTATATTTATTACTTTTTGCCCATTCTACGAGAGCATTGATAATATGAATGATAATATTTTCAACTAATTAATGTTAATTAATAAATAATATTACATTACCAAATATTTGGAGGACCGCATGAAAATAATGTGATGAGAAGGAATTCGCATCGTAAAAAAGATTAAGTACCGCTCTGATCTACATAGAAGATATAATTATATCCTTTAAATATCCTGACACATCTTATTTTAAGCAAGTGTTTTAAAGATCTAACTTAATTCGTCCTATTTTTACCCCTATACTTTCATGTCAAAGAGATACAATATGTATAATAAAAAACAGAAATGCGCATTTACTCTTTCTCTTTAAAGAATAATTTTCTTCTTCAAAAACAGCAACACACTTCAGGAATTACCTGAGAAACTCTTCAAGTATCAAGGCAATTTTATTGTTACCGAAAACGCAAAAATTTTTTTAAGAAAAGTTACTTCAGAAAATATTTTCATTGCATATATACATATATTTGTGTGTATTGTTGTTGTTGTGTGTATACATATATTGTTTAAAAAAATTCAATTCTCTTAGAATTTTTAATGTCTTACGAGCAAGCTTTTAGAGGTAAACAATATAAAAAAAATTATTGATCAAATTAAAAATAATAAAAATAGAAAGTAAAATTAGAAAGTAAAAATTATTTTTTATAATTATACAATCGAGAATTGACTATTAATAAAATATATTTATTTTGCCATTATTTTCAATTGTATTAATCAATCAATAAAAAAGATCAAATAAGAAATTAAATAAGAAATTATAATTGCTTTTAAAAATAATTATTGTTAGTATAAATATTCGTCGATTTTCTTGTTCAATGATAAAAATAATATACATTTTAAACATTTCTCATTGTTTCATTATTTAAGCACGCTCGTAAATTAATATAATTTTACAAGATTTTTGAATTCTTTAATTATATTTTTAAACTAAATTCTTAGAATATTAGTTATAATACTTGCATGCCAAATTAGAGCATTGTAACTCAAACAATTCTTGAGACGTTTAAATTTTCAGAAAAGTATACACACACACGGACATATTTAAAAAAAAAAATGATTTTTTGATGTTTTGAAATATTCTGAAAGTATTGGCAAAACAAAAAAATTTTTTCAAATTTTTATGCTTCACAAATGTTCCACAAAAACAAAGCTTCCTTTATGAGAAAGCAAAAAAGTATGTAATTTGCAACTAGCAGCTACATATATTTTTATTTTAAAAATCCAGTAAATAGAGCTTTTTAAACGCTATAATTTTTCTCTGAATTTTTTCGATAATACGTATGTTTTGTAAAATTAAAAGATTTTAACTTTTTGTACACCTTGTACGTTAAATTTTTAAACCCTACGCGCATACAAAAGAATTACTTACAAAAATCGATATTATATCATATTAACTTTTAAGTGTGCAAAATTTTTTTTATAACGTTTAAATGTTTAGATATAAATTGAAAAAAAAATACGAGAGATTTGTAGAATAAAACAAACAAAATTAAAAAATGAAAATATACAATTCGAAATATATTTAATTTAATCGAATATTTCTATTCTATATACTATAATGTATTTGCTGTATTTTTATTTTGCTTTTATTTTTAAACTAAATTTTGCCTCTTTGCGTTGCTTAATTTTTGCTGGAAACTATAAATGAATATTTTTAACTTTAACTTTATAAAGCCACGCCATTTATATATCAGGCGAAAGGATGGCCCTGATATGTATATTTCCAATTCTTGTAGATTAGGCTGTAGTATGGCAAACTTGCATGGTGCTAACAAATGTCGTGGTACCGGCAAGGCAATTTCTACCAGGAAATTTTTTAATAATATTTTTTAAATAATATTTTTCATTATTTGTGTTAAGGGTTTAATTAAATATGTACTTTTCAATTATTTAATCAGCAATATGATGCACGAATATATAAATACAAAATGTGTGCCTAATCAAATACATTCTTATATATGTATATAGATATCGAAAATACTAAGACATTAGCCTATCCTAGAATTATTAGAATTAAAGAGGGAAAAAAAGAATAAAAAAATTAAATGTTGTTGAATAATATAGAATAGAAAAATTCAATGTATAAGTATCTCATAGCGATACTGCGAAAAATTTCACAGAAGTAATATATATATATATATATATATATATATATATATATATATATATTACTTTATAAAAAACTAAAAATTAATTAATTATATTATCAATTTATAATATTTTAGAGAGGCCAAAATCTCTATATTAATTGAAATATATTTTCTTTTTACACATGTAGGATTAAAATAGATATTTAAGAGAGCTAATCAATTTTCGTTATCAGAGTTTTTCGTGGATATCGCTCGCTTTTATATGTGTCGTGTATAAAAATAGGTGTGTAAAAATGTGTTCTTTTCTATTTTATTATTTATGACTACGCTTCGAACTTAATTAAAGCGCGTCGTGATTTCAAAATATAAGGATAATTAAAATAGACGTATTTTTATTTGAATTGTACAGCTGCCAGCTATTTATTATGAGATAAGTATAAGATGAGAATAACGCACAATGAATGTGAATTTGAAATAATGTTTGCATTCAGCAGCTTTGTATTCTTTCACATTTGTATTCAGATTTTATAGACACTGAATGTGGTGAATGTAAAATTGTCGAACACAATAATTATTTTATCGAAATTATTTTATAAGAAAAAAAAAGAAAAATGAATTGTATATTGATAATATAATAATGAATTTTTAGTGAATTTATTGAGAATACAGATTTAATGAACGAATCGATTTAAACGAATAAAATGAAACTTATCGTGATTATTTACAATTGTTATTTATTTGTTTATTTGTTTATTTGTTTATATATTCACCAAATTAATTTATAATAAATCACTCAAACAGCATTAATAATGGAGAATGATGTAAAAATATTTTCTTTATCCATATATTATATATAAATAGAAAAATTTTACTTATATGTATATTTATTTATAATATCGATATTAATTATTTATACATATCTTTAATATCTGTATATGTTAACCTGTTTTTCTTTTTCATCTTTATGTTCTTTATTTTTTCTTTCTCTCTTTTTTTAATGTTTTCCTATTTTACGAACATTATTGTTGATGGCTCTCAAGATATCAATATAATATACGCATATATCCAAAATAAGTCGGCCGAAGAGCCAACGCACGCAAAAATTAATTCTTTTCGCAAATTTTTTAAACTTAATTAAATCTTGGCAATCTGTCAAGTTTAAAAAATTCGCGAAAAGAATTAATTTTTGCACGCGTTGGCTCTTTGACCGATTTTCTTATTTTCTTCTTTGCTTTTTTTACTCTTTTTCCATCTCTATCTTTAAACCTAGTCCTACATTAAACAACTTCTATACTCAAATAAACACGTTATTTCATGTTACATTTTTGTGTATAAAATATTTGTTAATATAATATATATGTATATATATGTATATATACATATATGTATATTTATATATTATGTATGCGTGTATATATGTATATATAATAAGATAATATCCATTTATTATTACTATATTTATTATTGTTATTATATAATTATTATTAATAACAAAAATATCAATAAAGACAAAATTCGAATAAAAAGTATTTATTTCATATAATATATGTGTTCTCTTATATTTATTCCATTGGTATCAGTAAATATCAGAGTTGGGTAAGTTAATAATTTTGTAAACTAAATTAAGTTAAAGTTATAGTTCCTTTATAAAATTAATTTAGTTATTTAAGTTAAAAGTTACATAAACAAAAAATTAACTCAGTTAAAATTAAATTAACTGAAGTTAATCAAAGTTAATCAAAGTTAATCAAAAGTCAATTTTTAAAAACATTATTTATATTAAATTAGAATTTTGTTTGTTAATTCTTTTAAAATTGATAACAACAAATAACAAAGAAATTTTGATTTTTATATAGAAATATATTTTTTTGTAATTACAATTGATGACAATAATTAACATAAAAATTAATAATACTTATTTAATTTAAAAATAATACGTTTATAATTTTTATAAAAAAAACAATAATAGTACTTTGAAATAAAAAAATTTAATTTAGGAAAAAAATTATTAAGTTTGAGGTAAAAAATAACTAGTTGAAGTTAAAAATTAATACATTTTAAATTAACTAAGCTAAGTTAAAAGTTATTAACATTTTAACTCTTTTTAACTTTTAACTATAATTAACTATACTTATTACCCAGGCAATATATGTATATGTACATCTTACGATGCTGCACAGATGGAATGTTCCATTCGCTTTTCGAATGAGTCATCATACGCCTCGTTTTTCTCTCGCGGTTTTAATTCATCATCATCCTGTAAATAAGACCGTGTGCATTACCCAACGTTAATAAGCGGTATTCTCTTTCTCAGAAAACACTATATTTCAGATCTCCGCATACTATTCAATTTGACTAAATACAGCACATTGTGCGAATCAAAACTGGATTAAATAGCAGGTACAATTCTCGCGACTCTCTCAGGTTTGTAATTTATTCGCTTTTTGAATAGCGCGGCGGTCAACGCCTACAAGAAGTTGCGTAACACGCATATATATATACGCGTGCGAATATATATAGTATATTGCACATTGCACGTCGTTGCACGTATCGTAAAAGTAGAACGATGCTCACGCACACGCATCGCGAAAACAATTGTGTAAAAAGGTTTTTTTTTATTCTTCTTTTTTTTGTGTTTCATGAAATATTCACCTCTATTGAGGCAAAATAGAAGTATATAGAAGTGCTTTTTGTTATCATATATTTTAACTTTTCCGGGCAAATATTTGAAATTAAGCGCAATAAAAATATTTAAATAAAAGCGAGAAATTTAAATAAAAGTTATAGGATTACGAAAAAAAACGTTTAAATTAAAGTTGTAGGATTATATATATAAAAAAGGTAAAATTCTTCTCTCGACCGTACTGGCAAATATTATTTATTCAATCACAACGTTTCGACCCTTCTTTGAGTTCTTATCAAGTAATTTGTAAAAATAAAAATAAAATTATAATTTTAAGATGTCAAGAACGAACATAGTGTCGGTTTGACAACACGTCAAGACTCTTAGACAAGTTATTGGAGACATTTATACATTAACTTTAATATTTCATTTAACTCATTTTATTTCGAGAAATTTAAATTATTCAATAAACAACAAAATTTAATAATCCCTGATACAAAAGGTACAATTAATAAAATTTACTTTTATTCAATTAATTTATTTATTTTACATTTTTATTCACATTACCTACATCTATATTTAATTTAATTTTTTTTTTTTAATACTTCAACAATTCAAAAACTAATTCTATTTAATCAGTCTCCAATAACTCGTCTAAGAGTCTTGATGTGTTGTCAAACCGACACTATGTTCGTTCTTGACATCTTAAAATTATAATTTTATTTTTATTTTTACAAATCACT